ACACACACGCATGTATATATATATATATATATATTAGAGAATCTTATCATTCGCTCATTTACCCATCTACGCAAATAAATTCCAATGTTTCGTTTTCTTTCCCTCAGGACCGGCGCTATGCCGCCCTCAGTGCATCTGAATTACCATCATGTGAGAGTCTGAAGGACACAATTGCACGTGCCCTCCCCTACTGGAATGATGTGGTCGCCCCCCAGATCCGCGCTGGCAAACGAGTGCTAATTGCAGCTCACGGGAACAGCTTGAGGGGCATCGTTAAGCACTTGGAAGGTAAGAAGTATATTTCATATTCCATCTTATTTAGTGATCAGTGAATTGAGCCTGAACATTAAAAAAAAAACATCTGTCCAAGAATATTTCAGTGCTGCCTTACTGGACAGCACACATCCCTATTTTTTTTCTTAAATTCTCAGTTTATTGGTGAAATACAAAGATTCCAAAATTATTTTGAACAACATACATAACAGCGCTGTCAACAGAAACAGGCACAGCAAAAATAACATAATAAACATAGTCCAATAAGAGATTGTATATCAGTAATTAGGCCATATCAGAAACAGGCAAGAAAAAAGGTATACATCTCAAATTTGGAAAAAAAAATGCAACAAAATAGAATGCATTCGGATTGCCGTATTGTAGGTCAAATCAGTCAAAATAACATCATGACTCGGCATATAGAAAGGAAATTAAGATAAAACAAATAAACTCTATATTCGATTTTACAAAGATACAGTAGATAGTATTAGATATTATTATGAAGAGCAAATTATTTCATATAATATAGGACATTAGAGACTCAACCACCAATTCTTTGGGACTTGGCCACAAACAAGTGAACCAAAATCAACGCCCCTCCTGAGAGAGGGAGGAAGAGCCCCATAATACTGTGGCATCTCCAGGACTAGAAACAAGCAGATGAGCAAGAAAGGAACATCATATGGAAGAGGGAATAGATCTTCATTGTCTATCCTCCCAGTCCCAGGGGGACTACACAGTTAACACCAGGAGAGATTGGGGGAGGCTGACACTTCCATTTGTGAGTAGGCAGGGGTAGTCTTGAAAGAGAACCATGGCATCCATGTGGACCTGAACCACTGCTCTGTATCACATCCTGATTTTTAACCAGATGAAATAGTCCCTACCCGAGTATATTCTCTGGACTGGAATTCACATTTAACCAAAAGTGAATTTATGGGGTAAGTCCAGTTGGAAAGCTCATGGAATGTGTTGGAGAATTACACTGAGTGGCCAGATTATTATGACCACCCCTTCAGTACTTCATTGGGCCACGAGATGACTACACAGGATGACTTCGTTGGGCCGCCTCGTGACTCCACGAGATGTTGAAAGGTGAGTCGAGGAATCTGACACTGCACTGTTGCCCTTCTGTTGTCTTGTACCAGTCTTGCCAATCTCCGTTCTGCCCTAACATTGACTAGTCGCTGATGGCCACAATTCGCACGTTCAGACCCAGATTTGCGGCTGACAGTCCAGTCTTTAAACGATTTAACAACAGCTGCTCTTGAACATTTAACGAATTCTGCTGTTTTGCTAATACTTGCTCCATGGCTCCGAGCGCCAACAATCATTCCACGTTCAAAGGCTGTTAAATCGCGTTGTTTACCCATATCTTCAGAAACAAATCATTCTACTGTCGTGGTAAACAACCTGCTTCCCTATTTATAATGGTCTGGCCCTCTAGCAACTTCAGCGCAAAATTATAGCTAATTATAGCTAATTTGCCTACAAATGTCAGGTTGTCATAATAAACTGGCCACTCAGTGTATATACATGCAGACCGCCATTAGCCTCTGCAGTGTTGAACAAGTAGGAGGCATGTCTCTCACCCACCAATCCCCTCTCACAAATCATCTCACTTACATTCTGAAGACATCAGGACATGATCAGTGCTGCTCAGTCTGAATCTTATGGAGCAGAAGCTGGGTGACCACACTGTGAGGAGAACAACAAGACTGGGTGAATGTAGTTGAAGCAGCTTTAGTGCAGAGCAAGGTGCACATCACCATACCAAACATACCATGGACATCACCATACCAAACAAACATACCGTGGGCATCACCGTACCAAACATACCATGGGCATCACTGTACCAAACAAAATACCATAGGCATCACCGTACCAAACAAACATACCATGGACATCACTATACCAAACAAACATACCATGGACATCACTATACCAAACAAACATACCATGGGCATCATCATACCAAACAAACATACCATGGGCATCATCATACCAAACAAACATACCATGGACATCACTATACCAAACAAACATACCATGGACATCACTATACCAAAACAAACATACCATGGACATCACCATACCAAACAAACATACCATGGACATAATTATACCAAACAAACATACCATGTACATCACAATGCCAATTACACATACCATGACCATCACTATACCAAACAAACATACCATGGACATCATTATACCAAACAAACATACCATGGACATCACTATACCAAACAAACATACCATGGACATCACTATACCAAAACAAACATACCATGGACATCACTATACCATACAAACATACCATGGGCATCATCATACCAAACAAACATACCATGGACATCACTATACCAAACAAACATACCATGAACATCACTATACCAAACAAACATACCATGGACATAATTATACCAAACAAACATACCATGTACATCACAATGCCAATTACACATACCATGACCATCACTATACCAAACAAACATACCATGGACATCATTATACCAAACAAACATACCATGGACATCATTATACCATACAAACATACCATGGGCATCATCATACCAAACAAACATACCATGGACATCATTATACCAAACAAACATACCATGGACATCATTATACCAAACAAACATACCATAACCATCACCATACCAAACATACCATGGGCATCACTATACCAAACAAACATACCATGGACAATACCATATCAAACAAACATACCATGACCATCACCATACCAAACAAACATACCATGACCATCACCATACCAAACAAACATACCATAACCATCACCATACCAAACAAACATACCATCACCATACCAAACAAACATACCATGACCATCACCATACCAAACAAACATACCATCACCATACCAAATAAACATACGATGCGCATAAAATCACCATTTAAACAACAAACGTGATCCCCTTGCAGCAGCTGAGAAAACATATGCAATGACTATATGTCTAGGTCTTCTAACACACAGACACAGAATTTGTACCTATAATATGAAGACACGTCTTGCTTTGAAGGACACATATAAATAGTGCACAATGTTGGGCTGTGACCACCTCTTCTGTGACAGTTTTAGGTATCCTCTTAGGTCAGACCTCGCACACCCCCCTCTCAGCTGGCTGGTTCAGTTACTCTGACCTTTTCCCGATGACCTTACAGTGACATTTCTGAAATGACCCCACTCTAGGAATGCCATAAGGGTTAGAAATAAGTATACCCAACCTTCTGCCATGCTGAACTTGGTTCTTAAAAGACTGACATTTCTTTTTCTATTTCGACTAGGTTTTGACAACCTGTCATACATGGCAGATTTCCAGATTCCATTTAGCCATGTCCATGCAATATCTTTATGTGATAAGTCTGCTTTAGAGGAAAGCTGTGCGGAGAGAAGTAGGGTAGGGGGGTTGTCATTGCTAAGCATCTTCTCTAAATGCTTGTTGCCTCACATAGTAGTGTCCACACACAGCACTGGGCTGTTCTCCGTATTCACTATTTGTGATGTTTTTGGTTTCAGTCCCGTTAATGAATTTGGCCCTTGGACTGAATCACTGACAGCTGTAGACCAGGTGTAAGCAGATTTGAAGACAAACGCTCGTTTAAGAGGTTTCCATATTCTCTCACACAGCAGCTGCTTAAATTCTGCTTAGGGTGAGCTCACATGGGTTTTATTTTTCAGAAATGTCACATTGCTACCGGGAAGAACGTGACCATTTTACATCTGTTTACAGGGAAACGATGGACAGCTGTTTCCACTAACATTTTCCTATAATAGCAGCTCGAAGCACAAAAACAAGCTGTATCGGCAAACAGTGGAAGGGCAAAGTGTAAAACAAACACAAAACTCATGGCAGGCCAATCAGAATCCATCTTCTTCTGCTCTAGCTGATTGGTTGCCATGAATTACTGCACTTTAATGCTAATGACGTGCTAAAGAAGCGTTTGTGGAAAGCTTGTCAGTAAGTGCAAGAAAGAAAAAAGCTTGCTGCGTTTATGGAGACAATCTTATCTAGCTGAGCCTTACTTCATATAGTGTCCAGCCCGGGAGGTAGGGGCTTCTGGTAAAGATGGCCATTCACTGGTAGATTATTGTATGAATGTTCATATGAAAAATCTCATCAGAACGTTTGATAATCCCATCAGAGACTTGACGAATGTCGTTCCAAATTAAATTTTATTTTAACATTCCATTTTGGAATTAACCACTTGCCGTCCAGAGTGATTTCTTTCTTACAGGGTTATTCACAAAAGAGTGAAGAGTTTGGAGAAGGCCGGAGAAGTGAACAATCTAGGACAACATAGCTGAACCGGAAAGTGAGCTGAATTGGAGAATTTCTCCAAATCAGCTATGTTGTCCTAGATTGTTCACTTTGTGACAATAATGGGGGTGAGCCTGAGTATTAAAAATAGAATTCTCTTGTCCCCCAGTCAGAACAAATGCAGGCCTTCATTTAGTAATTTGCCAGGTCCCTCCATCTTCCACAGAACAGAGATCTGCTATCTGGCCTGTGAACTTTTATTGCCCCTCAGCAGAAGGGAGTCACAAAACTCCTAAGCCTTTTGTCCCAATCAGAGTGCCCCCTCTATATAGGTTGTCCCCATCAGAGTGCCCCTTTATATTGGTTGTCCCCATCAGAGTGCCCCTTTATATTGGTTGTCCCCATCAGAGTGCCCCTTTATATTGGTTGTCCCCATCAGAGTGCCCCTTTATATTGGTTGTCCCCATCACAGTGCCCCTTTGTATTGGTTGACCCCATCACAGTGCCCCTTTACATTAAGGGCAGCAAGTATGGGTGAGTACACGGGGCACGTACTTGATGTAATTGGTAGTAACGCAGGCAGTCCTAGCAACGAATGACTGCAGAGGATTAGGGAAAGGGACATTATTGGTTGCTAGGATACCGGCGGTGATAGCAACCAATGAATAAAGATGAGGGGGGACCTGCCCTGCATTATGACTGACACTGGACACTCTGAGGTTGGTGCATCCACTGTCAGCCAGCCAGAACCCAGCACCAGTGCGATCTGGACAGTGATCTACCATTCAGTGATCTGTAGAATTTATTATAGGTATAAATCATAGAAATCAGTAAGTTAAGTTATGTAAAAATGTCATTGTTTGGAAAGTATTAGATATTGTATGCCAATTAAATTTGGAGAAACCCAGCCCAAGGGTTTAATTGGAGCCCCCTGTAGTCTTGGCTGAAGTAAGGCCAACATGTGAGGTGATTGGGTCAAATTACCCTGCTGCCCCGCATCTCATAGGGCCCAATACTTGCCAGCCCATTTGTACATATTGTACACAGTACATATGGCTCTGGTCACCCTGACCTCTGACTTCATGCATGAACAAGAACATAAATGCAGTATTTTTATTTAACATACAGACATATTACAGTTACAAAAATAATTGTTCATTGCTGCAAAATGACAGAACCACATCAGTTTTGTATTCTGAAGCCACACATCAGTTTCAACTTGTCATGTGTTATTTCAAGGCCTTTAAATCATATTTGTTTCCAATTTCCAACACATAAAATGATAATTGTTCCCAATGTGCGCACTTAAAAATACTTATGCTCTTTTATTCCAATTTTTAATGCTTCTAGCACCCCAGTCTGACCTCCACACGGCCCTCTCTCGCCCCTGTAGTCATTCTGAAGGTCATCCTGTTACTATTCTTAAATCATGCCAATTCTAGAAGTCCAGCTGAGTATAAATATCCTGAGCTGCTTCTCTGGATTCTCTCTGTTCATCCTGTCATCTTGTGTTTTGCTACGGTAATGCGGATCACAACTGCAATATGACGCTGCGTAATCACTTAAAGTGACACTAAACTCTGGAGTTAAATCTAAAAAAATACATTCAAGTACCTTAACTATGAACACAAAGGTATCTTATTTGTGTATCACTGGGCTGTAGATCCTCAAATCATACAACTCCTGAGTTTAGTGTCACTTATTCTGACTCCGATCGTTGTGATAGCGAAATATATCCCTTGCTGAGACCTCTATGCCTGGCCTGTATAAGCAGATATACTCACTGCGGACAATCCTCGTCAGATAGCTGAACTCGTCAATACCGATTCATTCAAAAGGGATGTTTATTCTTTAACATCATGGTTACAGCAGATGATAGGAACAGCAGTTGAATGGTTGTAGTATTGTGCGGTCAGAAAATGATGCCTTTCCTACGTACTTTGCAGATTACATGTGTGTCCTTGTTACATGTGGCTTCTTACTGTGGCCATGACACAGGAAGTACTGCACACAGGAAGAAGGAAGGGGCGTACACTAGGGGGAAATACATCGTCACATGAGGAATAATTACAGAAAACATGTTTGTTACAAGAAAAGGCCACTAGATGGCAGCATAGGATAACACATGAATTTAGCTATGAGAAAATAGTTAGGCAAATCACACTATATAAATTCTAACCTATATAACAATGCTAATATTAACTGAGGCTATGCATCTCATATTCTATGCCCCTATTGGGGCGGCACATCACTTTAATAAAGGAATACAACAGAGTAACACACTGATTTATCACCCAGACTCGCATAACACATACTTTGCTATGGACTGTTGTACTTTTGCAGCAAAATGTCTCCTTAAAAGGAGTCTTCCTCTTTAATGGACAAGTAAATCTCTGATTAGGAGCCATTCGTACACCTGTCCCAAGTCATTCAGCGATATCAGCTGCCATGTTCATAAATATATCAAATCTTCACATTGTATAATTAAAGGAGAACTATGAGGTGAGTGATTTCCACTCATCCTCATAGTTCAAACCGGCATGTGACAATGAGACTGTCACACGTCGGCTCAATAAATTGGGAAGTGAGCGAACACATACTGTCGCCCGCTCACTTCTTGATCATCTCCCTGCAGAGAGTGGTGACTGTCAGTCACGGCTCCCTGCAGGGATTCCCCCCCTCCCCGCTCCGATCCTCCAGCGCTGACTGGAGGAACGGACGGGGTGTAGGGGGCGGGTACAGCTGGCTCTGCCTCTAAAAGGGCAGAGACAGCTGTCAGTCAGGCAGCTGGGTGGATCTCGACAGCACTGTTGGGATCCGTCCCAGCTGCAACGGTCTCAGTATACCGCAAGCTGTAGCCCGCGATATACTGAGCTTTGGGTCATGAGAGGAGGCTCATAGTTCTCTTTTAACACCACAGCTCCCAACTCTCCTTTATTTGGCAGGACTGTGCGCCATTGAGAACCAAATCAATCTGTCCCTCTTTCTTCCTCAGTTGTTGCTCTTTTTGGGCTAATGTATGAATCTCTATAAAAAAATAATTATTTAACTTTCCAAAGGGTTTTACTGCACTAAATCCTAAATTATTTTTATTTTTTTTACCCGGATAGATAACATAAAGCAAATGTAGTGATTAAAAAAGCAACTTTTGGTTAAAACAATCTTTTTTTGTGCATTAATTCTCATAGTCCTCGTTACTGGAGGCATGCAGGGGTTAGTCCCTTGGCTATATTCTTCATTCTATAACGTATCCCTCCTTCCAATCTCAGAAAGTTGGGACACCAGTAAGGCTCAAGACAGTTATGGGGCATGCCTTAATCCATGGCTGCTCCCTCCCTAGCCAAAGGGTTGAAGATGCCCATACACCAGCACTTACAACTACCAAGCCTGACTGTTGCTGGACAACTCTAAAAGGTCCAGTTGTTTCAATTAGTAAAGGTGGCTGTATGATGAGCACATAAATGGGCAGCTGCTGTCATTGTAGAAATTCATTATTATTAATTCATTATTACTGTATATTTCATATGTGATCACTGAGTTTTCTGGCAGGTGATCTGCCTCCACAACTATTATCAGCACTCTAAAATTCCCATATCTGTCAAAATAAGCAATCCGTGTATGAACTTACTTTAATGCATACCTGTTATAATACTATCTCTGACTCCGGGTATATACCCTTTAAAGCCCATTTTTATATTGATAGCAAAAATAAAACAAATCCAGAGGTGTGAGAGTGATAGGAACATATGGAAGGGCATGTGGTTAGATGTTATGTATACATCAAAGTTGACAATAACCATCTATGGGCGGCGTGGTGACTATCCTTGATTTCATATGCAGTGTCATCCTTGTCTTTGCTCCATTATAAGGAAATTCCTATCGGGTACTGACATGTTGGATCCTGGTCAGTGACTTACCAAGAAATAAAGCAAGTGCAAAGATGTGAGCCCCAGAACCTGTACACTTAGAAACAAATAAGGAATGGCAGCACTCATATTCAGTCCTGGCAGTTTCCGTTTATATTTAATACCCAGGAGAACTCTTTGCTCCAATCATATGCCTCCCCCACCCCCCGATGGTAGCCATAGCACATATTGAGCACCTTGAAAAAAAAAACAGCTTATCAAGTTTCTTAAAGAGCTCCAGAAATCTAAAAAACATATTCTTGCAGTGGGGCGCACTTCAAGGTTAAATGCTTGTTTTGTCTAGGCGGCTCTATAGGGCAGATATACTCACCTGATCCTCAGTCCTTCAGGGTCCCTGCAGCCTCGTCTTCCCTGGGCTCTGGCGTTCTAAGAACCGCTGACGTCATCATGCCTAATGCAGGTCCATTGACTTGCATTAGACGTGAGGACGCTGAGGGACAGTCCACAGCCGTAGTGGAGGGGGGAAAGAGGTGAGCGCTGACCGCTACGGGACTGAGGATCAGATGAGTCAATCTGCCTGATGTATCTTATCCAAAATCTGTTCCAATGTGAGCATAATTTATGATGTTGCCTCTTATTAAATCTTCCTCACATTTGCATCTCTCTCTGTGCTCTTTACAGGAATGTCTGATGCCGCCATCATGGAGCTAAATCTCCCCACCGGAATCCCCATTGTGTATGAGTTGGATGACAATTTAAAACCCCTTAAGCCCATGGCCTTCCTCGGAGACGAGGAGACAGTGAAGAAGGCAATGGAGGCAGTGGCTGCCCAGGGCAAGGTCAAGAAATAGACGCCATGTGAAGCCAATCGAAACAATGTGGACTGGTTTTTGTGAAACCCCAAATTCTGCTACTGATTATAAAATCTTATTTATAAAATCCTAACTGCATACTCTTATCACACACGTCGTCTTAACCTCACTGATGCCAGCCTAGTCATCACACTCTGTTTTAGTGACCACTCTGTCTAAACTAGAGGTGCAGAAGCTATAGATGGCGTCCCCTGCATACAAGATATGCCATTCATTATTCTGTAATCACTTGGAAACCACATTTGATACTCCCAATGGTACAATGCCTCTTCAAAAATGTTTTATCATGTCCAGTCTACAGCACAATGGAGGCTGGACCTGTGGAGATGTATGCCCTACACCGGCTGTGGTGAAGTTACAATTTCCATCATGAATCTGCCTCTGGGAGTCATGCCTGTGGCTGTCAGAATCTTTCAATGCCTCATGGGATTTGTATTTGAACCACAGCTGGCGGGCTGGAGTTTCCTTACCCCTGACCTAAACGAAAGTTCTGCCTATACAGCAAAACATTGGGCACGGCAGAACTTGGCATCTCTTCACAGATTTGCAATTTCCATTCTTTTCTGATGTATAAAAAAATGAAAATAATAATTTGAATGTGCAATCTTTCACACACACATGGGCCCTCATGATCAAAAGCATCTAAAGAAAGAACTGTCACCTTCGCCCGTAGGTACTGTAACGCATTCTTTTAATTCTCCGGTATTGTGCTAGAAACATGAAAGCGAGCATCTGAATAAGTTCTTTTATTAGAGGTTTCTGATAATAAAAACCCTTATGTCAACCCGTCCAGCACTCGTACCATTAGCTGCATCACAGGTTATTTTCATTGCCCCAAATATGTGTTCTTCTATTAGAAAAAAATATTTTGATGGTGTAACTTTGTTCTAAATGTCCATTTCAAAAAGCAGCCACTGAAAGTCCTTGCAGCATTGTGCCCAACGTGTTTTACTTTCAGAACATCTTGTGAACTTTTGTAATGTCCTTGACAAATCTGCATCTACGTATTGGTTCCTAAATAAACAAATGCTATACCTGGCTGTATTGTATTGTGCAGCAGTCGCTCATAGCACAGTGCTTCTTTCAGAACTAAACTCTGTTGATGCCGGCGGGTTTAACCAACATCAGGCAAATTATATAGACATATGAAGATCTATGGAGACTTAGACATTCATTGTATGTGCTACATGTGCTGCTCCTCTTACCTGCAGCTCGAAGTGCCATCAGTACCAACAGGATACAGCGCAGTCCCCAGCCTGCTTCTGGGACATCCCACCATCAGATCACATGCTATGGCCTGTACCTTGCAGCTGTCTAGTTTGCCTTATTAGGAAGCCGTCGCTGCCTGATTCTGTGCCGCACAGCCTTGACCCACCGGGCAAGTGCCCAGTATGCCCAAAGGCAAGTCCGGCCCTGTCCGCCTCATTGGTTTGGGGCAGCATTTTCTGCCGCCCCCCTGGAAATTGCCGCCCTAGGCAAATGCCTAGTTTGCCTTGAGGTAGATACACCTCTGCCGACACCAAAGAACCGATCCCCTTTCCAGACATCTAAAATCTTATTGGGGTATCTTTGTGTGTCTGTAGGCCCTTCCTGATTGTGGAGACATTTCCTCTCCAAGCTGTCTTGGAGAAAGAGTTGATCAGCTGCATTGGACTTTTTGAAACTAATTGCTTTTGTTTGCTTCCAAGAAAGCACAACACCGGGGATGTCTGCAGAGTGTTGCCATAAAAGTATGAACATTCGCACAATGCAAATATGAATGTTAGTTAAAAAAAATATTTTGGATCATTAAAGTAGTATTAAAAATCTTTTTTCAATAATGAATCCAGATCAAACACATATACATTGCCCAGCAAAGTGTTTCTTTACATTTTGCCCAAGCACTTACAGTCACAATGTTTCCAAACAGCTCCAACTCTCTCAGCTCGGCTTTCCTGAACTTCCTGTCCTGTACAAGATCCCAAGGGACAGAGCAGTCTGCAGCAGCTGTCCATCTACTAGCTAGGAGATGGAAGGAGGAGAGAGGAAAGAGGAGAGGGGATCAGGGAGGAGGGGAGTGTCTTGCAATGCAGTGCCTCTGTGTTTGTGGAGACACGCATAGCTTACTAGCGCACACAAGGGTGACTTCATAGGACCCTGCAAGGGAATGGAGCCACCCTAAAACAGATATCAGGGCCAGTGCTCAGGGGACCAGCTGATTCTACAGGAAACTAAAACTTTTAAACATCAAGGAGCAGCATTCATTGTAAGTGATTTCATCAGCATTTGACATACCCTAAAAAACTTTAATATCACTTTAATGTCTGCAGATAACTTTAGGCTATCCATCAGCTGGGTGTGTTGTAGAGCTGGTTAAATATGACATATTTTAAGTGTCCATTATAACAGGCATAATTCAGGCTCACTTTTATATCTGTAAGATAAATAGGAATTGTATGACTTCTTGCTGTGAGATTACGTCTTCTGGGGTAGACAAGCCATTGTAACAAACTAGCATCCTCCAGTCACCCTAAGCTCAGTATACCGCAAGCATAGGGAAAAGATATGGAAAGGGGAATACATTGCTATATTTTCCCTCCTTCCCCCTTGAGAAGTTTAACTTAGATAGGTTAAAGCTGGACGATAACAAAAAGGAGGATGAGGAAAAGCGTCGCTATCGCCTTATTCCACGTACGTTTGCCAATTGGTTACAAGCTTTTGCTATTTTGGCAAGCGTTATTGGGGAAAAGGCTCCCGAACATTGCTCCCCCCTTTTTTGTTATCTGGACGCCATCGGGGAAGCATATCGGGTATACGGTAGGTTGGGTCATAGGACGGCTGTGCCTTACCCTGTCATGCCTATCTTGAGGCAGAGCCAGCTGTACCCGCCCCCTCCCCTGTCCGTTCCGCCAGTCAGCGCTGGAGCATCGGAGTGGGGAGGTGGGAATCCAGCCCCTCCCCTGCCACGGCTCTCTGCAGTGGCAGGATCGAGAAGTGAGCGAACGCCGGTATGTGTTCGCTCACTTCCCAATCTACTGAGCCGACCTGTGACAGTCTCATTGTCACAGGTCGGCTAGAACTATGAGGTGAGTGAAAAGCACTCACCTCATAGTTCTCCTTTAATGCCATTTACACCACTGTGACAAACAGATCCAGCTGCATCAGAACCTATTAGTGATATCAGGTCTATGTACTGACATTAAGTCGACCAGCAAGAAGAGCCACCCACCAGTGACAAATTCCACCCACACGTGCTTGACATAGCCGGCACAAAACGTATCCCCGATTACACGGTCTCTTATTATGCCTGACACATAAGCCTTTCATGCATCATTCTACAACCCCTGACCCATATATTATTACTGCATTTCACTGAAGCTGAGACTAATGAATTTTTCTGTTCTCTAATTACCCCGTGTTTACCCTGTAAACCATTAACAGCTCTCATCGTTTCTTTCCACTTAGTAGGATATGGAGAGCTCTCAGAATCAGGACTCTTACAAAAGAAAGTTCCATCAAAGAATTATAATGCTAATGATTGAATTTATAATTAATTGGAGATTTAATTTAACAAATATATAAGAAAGAACATTGACAAATACCATTCCCAATTTGCACAAATGTCATGTTATACTGAGAGCTATGAGAGGGTCATGGCTAGTCAACAAGGAGCCCATGGATGTCTAAGCTGACCGGTAGGTAGGTGGTAATGGCATGACAGAGTTTGTGTTGTAATTTATATTTGGTGGCAGAGTCTGGGGGTATTAATACTGATTTCGATACATTAAAGGTACATATCCTTTGAGGCTGGGTTCACACTTAGGCGTATTGAATATGCCCGTCTGTCGCACGTTTTTTTTACCGCGATTCGCGGTAAAAAAAACGCGCGACAGACGCGAGTTTCCGAGGACTACTTGGCTGTATCGCAATGGAAACGCCCAACAAAAACGGCCCAAAGAAGTTCATGTACTTGTTTGGGCGTAGGCCGTTTTGTAGGGCGTTCAGACGGGCGGAAATACGGAAAGGTGTGAACCATACCCATAGAAAACAATGGGATTTTCATGTTTGTACGTTTTGTAGAGCGTTCATAGAGCCTTGAACGCGCGACAAAACGTAAAGGTGTGAACAGGGCCCGAAGGAGAACTATGAGGTGAGTGATTTTCACTCATCCTCATAGTTTGAGCCAACGTGTGACAATGGGGACCCTAGTTTAAGTCCTCCTGTAACCCTTAGGAGAACTATGGGGAAAAACACTGACCCCAAAGTTCTCCTTTAAAGCAAACTAGGGATGCACCGATACTATTTTTTCCAGACCAAGTACGAGCACCAGAACCTTTCCTCAAGGACTCGCCAATATCAATTACCGATAACCTTTTTTTTATTGTCATGTGACAGTTTTTCTAAAACAATTCAGACTAATGATTTTAGGACAGTGGTGGATTGCCAGTGGCCCAGTTGCAACTGTGACCGCTGCGACCCTGATAGTTCTGCCACTGACTCCAAGCTGTAGAGGGACTACAAATCCCGCTAATACATTATATAGCAATGCAGAATACCACCAGCTATAGAGGACTACAAATTCCAGCAACACATTATACAGCAATGCAGAATAATAGTATATGAATTTTCTACATATCTCAGTCTCAGGAAGGGTTTGGAGGATCTCAGGAGGAGTGTAGAGGATCTCAGGAGGGTCAGATATGCAGGCTGGGGCTGTAAACAGGTGCCACGTGATTCCCCAGAAGGTTGTGAGGTCCCTAGCAAGTGTGGACTGCGAATGAGGAAGTATGCATTGGTGCCATAAAGGTGAATGAGGAAGTACTCATTGGTGCAGTAAAGTGAGTGAGGAAGTATGCATTGGTGCAGTAAAGTGAGTGAGGAAATATGCGCTGGTACAGTATAAGCGAGTGAGGAAGTATGGGTTGGTGCAGTAAAGGTGAGTGAGGCAGTATGCATTAGTGCAGTAAAGTGAGTGAGGATGTATGCTCTGGTGCAGTATAGGTGAGTGAGGAAGTATGCACTGCTGCAGTATAGGTGAGTGAGGATGTATGCGAAGGTGCAGTATAGGTGAATGAGGAACTATGCGATGGTGCAGTAAAGGTGAATGAGGAAGTATGTGTGGGTGCAGTACAGGCGAGTAAGGAAGTATGCACTGGTGCAGTATAGGTGAGTGAGGAAGTATGCATTGATGCAGTATAGGTGAGTGAGGAAGTATGCATTGATGCAGTATAGGTGAGTGAGGAAGTATGCATTGATGCAGTATAGGTGAGTGAGGAAGTATGCATTGATGCAGTATAGGCAAGTGTAAAAGTATGCATTGGTGTTGCAGTGTAGGTGAGTGAGAAAGTATTTGTTGGTG